ATGCCACATAATCAGTTGTCTTCCTACTCAAATAACAGTTTGGCTGGTTATGAAAGTAATTTAGCCCATTCGCTGTCAGAGGACTTTGTAGGCATCGTTCTACTCTGCTTAAATGCTGCTGTGGAGGTGTCTGAAGCTAACATAATTTTTTTCCCCCTTTATATAAACTCTTTGTATTTTTTCCTGGCTGTCCAGAGGATTCTCTGTCTCCAGTCCACATTAAGATATATCTTAGTGTTGATTATTACGTTTCATATTTTCTTGCAACATATGTCCCCAATTATAATGATTCAAATTTGTAACTTAGGAAAACTCACATTTTCTAGAACTGTATTACTAAACGTGTGCTGTTTCATTCAGCATTCGTCCTATTTCTACTCTCTTTAACTCCTTTTTTCCATTTCCTTTTGCTTTTTTTTTTTTTTTTTTTTTTCTATTCCGCCTTACGCTGTTTACTTTGTGCTTTCATTTCTGTAATTCTTTTCTGAGATTTTTCCAACTTAATTTCCTCACTTATTTTTCTTACCTTATCTGTTTAATGCATAATCTTGTTACACAATCACTCACTTTTAGAAAAACTGGTTGCTGCAGTGTTTACCCTCTTGTGACAACATTTTGAGATTAGAAAGTCGTCTTGCTGTCCCTGCTTTCCCTGTTCTTTGCCTTTCTTCTTTGTGGGGTCTATCATGGAGTATGTTTTCCCTAAAACCAGCTATTTGAAAGAATTTAATATGGGGCAAGGCCCAGGGCCATGTTCTAACCTGGCAGGAATTTTCCAAGTTTAAATGTGAACGTTTAAAAGCCTTTCCTCCTTCACGGCCCAATCTCAGACAGACGTTTCCTCCAAGTGGTGGTCTGTCGGGATGATTTCTCACTCAACCCTGCTTCCTTGGCAACTGCGAACGAAACAAAGTCCCAGGAAATGTCAGTGCTACCTGCTGTGGCCCTCACCCTGGAGAACTGCTCTGCTGCCTTTTCCCCTGGGCTCTTCACTCTGTGCTCCATTTCCCTACTGTTTTTAGCAGTCCTTCGACCTACATTTCAGTATCTCCTCATTTTATGAAAGTTCATTTTTCCTTAGCTTCTGTGAGCTGGCTTCCTCACAGGTAAATTTTAGATACTTCCTACCTGGCCTAATTGCTGTGCCCACGGGATGAGAGAACCTGTGTAAAATCAGCAGTTTCTCACACCACAGGCTTTGGATGGATGGAAGATGGTTGGTTCCCTTAATAGCCTTTCCTTTCCTGGCTTTCAGGTGATTACTGCACGTGGGAAGGCCTAATGTCACGTTTTACTGCCCCTGCCTTTCCTGGCAACCCTGGTCTTAAAACAGTCATGGCAGCCTTCCCCTCGCCATCCTTAGACACACGGGGGGGGGGGGGG